CACACTGACGAGCTAAAATAGCTGCAATGCTTTGAACAGACTCCACGGTAGGCACAGGCAAACGCCCAATGAAGCGACTACGGAGACGCACATATGACAGACCACTGGCCTGCAACAAGTTTTATATTAGACATCTGCAGCAAACCTTTTCATAATTGCAGCATTCCCATAGGAATTTACAGAAATTGGTTTTTAAGAAAAGCTCAGAATTGTTTTCAGCATCTTGTTATTACCAGCTATTGCACAGGCCACTGGTAAGCTAAGTCTTGTATTTATTTACACTATAGTTTAAGCAAGGCCAAACACAATCCGTGTAATTTGACAACAGGATGAGACCTTGCAATAAAAAAGTAACAAAACCTCAGGTCTGTTTAAACCCTGCCTCAAAACCAAATATACTTACAGCAAAATTCATACCTGCCAACACATGTGCGCTCAACTTCATGCATGCAATTGTTCTATGTTAATGGGGCTACTCATATAATTATATATTTGTATATAATTATGTTGCTTAAATGCTTACAGGATTGGGACCAAAGCATTTCATAATGAGTTCAACTCTAAGTAAAACTAAATAAAACAGACTGGATAATTTTGTAGGATTCTGAGTGAATCAAATGGTGTTTAATTAAGAAGAAATCAAATCAAATAGAAAACTACATATAGTTAATACCACGACAAGCAGACAGAGTAAAACAGAAAACTCTCTTACAGAAGTTTCTCATTAGAAAGAGTGCAAGTTTAAAAAAAAAAATAAAATAAAAAAGGAAAAAAACACCCACCCAAGTCACCCAAGTGTTCTATTCCCTTCTTGAATTCCTGCTATATAATTTAACAGGAACATTGAGATTTCGAGGTTGAAAGTTTGGATAGAAAACAAACAACTCCTCCCACCTCCCGATCTATTCATTAGGGTTGGTTCCATGTTTTGAAATGAAATAACAAAACAAGATTTAATAATACTCATGAATACACCAAGAACTCCTATATAAATTACCTTAAACGGAAAGACTTGTAAAACATGCAGAGACCATTTAAAGCGAAGTAGTGCAATTTAAGTGAAAAGTCTATTATTTCAAAATGATGCTATAAAATAGCCAGGGATTCTTGTTAGCATTTAAAATCTCCATCCAATGATTAATTTCACTAGGCCAAACACCTGCATTTTCATTTTTCAGATAATTTACTGACACACGGGCAAGTGAAAGAGAAGGGAATGAAGGCTCTAGTTCATAAAAACTACAGTTTTTTCTTACTTGACTACCCTTTAGCAAATAGCCCTTCATCATTTACCTCCCTCTGCTATAATCTGAACATTAATTAGGACAAAATGCTCAATGTGTTGTCACTTCCCCCATTAATAAAGATAAGAATATCTAATACCAAAGAAAAATTGTGGAGTTGCAACTTGTTCAGAGCTATCCAATATCACCCTGAACTACTGCTGGACTAGTGAACTCATCACGCTGAAGAGAGAGTTAACATTGCAAGAATATGAAATGAATCTCATGATATTCGGCGTTTTTCTTAAAGTTTCTTCTCCAGGCATCATGTTGTTATGTGAACATGCAGCTAAGCATGTATTAGTATCTTTCAAGCACTGTGGACAGAAATTTGAAAATAAGCTCTGTTTACACGTCAATTTTTAAAACAATCTCTATTTTTTCAAGCAGACTAGATTCACTTTTGTTAAGCTTAGACAAAAGTATCTGAGATGAAGCTACCTGTGGTAGAAAAATAACAGCCAGACACTGAGCTTGTGAACTGCACTGATCCTGAGGGTCAGTCTGAAGGGACAGTCCCTCACTTCACACTCATGTAACCTGGGGGATTATAAACAGGGATGGACTGCCATTGTTGGAAAGTAGAATTTTCTACTACTTTTTTATTCTTTAGATTAATTTGCTGAGAAATACACAAGGTTTTACCAGTCCAGAGAAGTTTTTTGTGTCTGTCAGTTCCTCTCAGGGACTCTTCTCTCCAGCACACACTTTTGTGGTCCACCAAGCCAAGATGAAGAATCAAAATTAACATTCTCCATTTCTCCAGAAAAGCATTAGAGCAGCCTGAAGTCCCTTAAAGAACAGTTTGGCTGGATCTTGGAACAGATTTGCTATGCCTGGAGGCACAAATAATTATGTTACCTTTAAGAACAATGTAATAAAAGGTCCTGAATTTACACATTCAAAGAGCAGATTGGTAGAATCTCTTCTTCTAGAGCATCTTGAGCAAGCATAATGCTAGTGTAGCTGACAAATTTAACATAAAACAAGTCCAGAAAAATCCACATTTCCATATTTTCTTGCATGAAAGCAAGTACTTTGTGCTGATGCATTTTATGCTACATTTTCATGTTCTAGAAGTTACTTGGACCCTCCCTATCCCCCTTTCCTGGATAGATTCCTTCAAAATGAGGAATAAACAAGTAGAATGTGATCTGTAGTCAGAATTGAGCAAGGGCAGCTATAGTTTTGATATGCCATCAGAAAAACTCTACTTAATACAATGCTAGCTATTTTTAAAATTGGAAATGAGGTTAAGAATGGTTTGAAGTCATATCAGCCCTGACTAAGGCTGTCACATTGAAACACGATGCCATGGATTCGGTAAGAGCAGTGCATTCCTAGACAGAAGTTCTGCCTTCAAATACTGACTTCCCCACTTTAAGAAAACACAATGGAAGATGGTGAGCGACTATAAGTGATGCTTAAAAACTACTTGGTTGAGTTAGAATAAATGCTACTTCCTTTCCTTTCCAAAAAAAGGAAAAAAAAAGTTTGTTCTGGTGTAGCTCTGTCAAAGGAAGGGCATATGAAATTAAGACTATCGTAATCATTTGATCACTGGAACATATCCAAACAAGAGAAAAACAATTTGCATGATAAAACTGGCATTCTTAACTGTGATTCATGTATAAAATGGCAGGATAATCAGCAAAGGGACGCTTGTTAGTGAAGTGCGTCGCCAGCCCACGCTTCTTACCTGTCATTGTACACTGGTAGTGAGAAACCACTGTTGGGGTGAAGGCTAAAAAAGAAAAAATTAGGGAAAGCAAACTGAATAATAAAACAAATGTGTGTACATATATTTGTGTGTAAATATTTCTACATATATACTGTGAGTGTACCATGAAAGCACAGGTGTGTATGTAAGCTGGCACGTTCTATTAAAAAATAATAATAAAAAAAAAAGTCACACACAAAGGTGGCATTTCATGTGAGGGGAACAGATTTCTTGCCTCTATTACCCAAGTTAGCCTAAAGGAATCGACTATTACATTCTCTACCTAACACAGTTCTCACTCTAATAGTATTAAGTTTTGCAGGATTAAAGTTAGCTATTTTTATATTTGTAATTAAAACTAGTTTGCCTCATTTTAGTGTGGCGCACATGTTAAACTAACAGTCTAACTCCTAGAAAGCAATAGCTATGCATCTGTCTCTCCCACAGCCTATATAACTACTGTCTGTAAAGAGCTTTCTCTTCTTTTTTTTTTTTTTTTTTTTTAAACCATTGACGAATGGGAGGGACAGGTATGATTAAAAACAAAAACAATAAATTCAGGCAGGAAAACCAAACCTTGTAATTTCCAAGCTTTTCGTTGTTCTTCTTTGGCAATTTGTTCCATGTCTTTGTCGTATATGTAATCTTGACACATAAAGCAGTATATACCCCCATACAAAAGGTCTATGGCTGCAAAACATAAGGGAAGTTGGGGAGAAGGGGGGAAAAAAAAGAAGAAAAAAAATGTGAGTTCATAAAAGAGAACACATTTTAAAGTACGTTTCCAAGTTAGCACTATTTCTTCTCCGCAGTCCACAAGAAAATTCTGTAACTCAGAATCTGAAAAACCCTAGGGAAATTTTTTCCAGTTACTTCTGGCACAGCGAGGCAACAAAGCATTAGCTGCCTCCGAGTTGCTTGCAATTCACAACATACGTTTTAGACGAAGCCGGACGCAAGTAAGCAAGAGGCATAATTAAGGAACTGATTGTAATAGCTGAAGAGCACTGTACCACAATCTGAAGATTTGATGTGCCAATCTGAATCATCTTTGCTTTGACTTAAGCAGTTTCTATCCAAATCCATTAGGACAATTATAAGGTATCTATTAAAAATACAAGTGAAAACTCAAATAGAAGACAGCAATGAAAACTCAAGACTTATTTGTCCAGGGTCATAGTTTTCCCAGAGTGGTTTATTCCACCATCTTTCCTTGCTCTTTCAGTCCTCATCTTTTCCATCTTCTTCCAGTTTTTTCATGACTTTGCAGTGTTGTACATGCTGCCTTTATCTTTTTATTACCTAAAGAAGTTTCTATACTGTTTGTTTGCTCTAATATTCCTTGTGTGTTTATCATTTTGTTTTGTCTATTTGGACTGCAATCAATTTGTATGGAAGGAAAAGGCTGCCTGCATAATCTTGCACGATGTCCGGAACAGCCAAACTCTCATGTGGTTTTGGAGAGCTTAGTAAGCTCCTATGACAGAGTAGCACCAAAACTGCAGCGGAGATCAGTCATAAAACCACTATGGCACGTTAGAAAAATAAAATCACAGGTAAGTTAAAAATAGTTAGCATGAATTACACTATACTGTGGCATCTATTCTGCTATTAGAAAAATAAAATCACAGGTAAGTTACAAATAGTTAGTATGAATTACACTATACTTACTGTGGCATCTATTCTGCTGCCAGTCATGTGCAGAGATCAACAAAAAGAGCTTGAAAATCCAAAATATCAATCCCCAAACAAAAATCAAATATCACTCATATTTGTAAAAAAAGCTACAAACCCTTAGCAGAACACTGATAACTCTACCTGGTGAGCACAAATACTCAATACTTTGCAGCCACCATTAGAGTGGGTAGGCCCACGCCATGCTCAGAGGGTTCACAGTTCTCTCAACTTTCTGGCTTTAGGCACGAGAATGAAGTACAGATATCAAGACCCAAACCAGCAAGAGACAACCTTACACAGGATAAGCCACTTACCCAGAGCAGAATGGATTTATGGCATAAAGGATCAAAAAGGTTAACAGAGGGCTCACTAAAAGCCCTAATTGTCCAAGGGCTGATGAAGAACTCTTGAGAATACATTCCCTCTTCAGGGCACTTGGGTGCACAATGCAGCTGTACGGATGCCAACGCTTTTAGTGGCATTAAGGAGCCTGCAATAGGTTTTGGGCAAATGTCCTCAAGGACTGAGAACAAGCAGGTCACACAGGCCTCAGTGTAACAGAATGAAAAGGCAGGAATTTCTAATGAAAGACATAACACGGCTTCTAGGAAAAAGGTCATAATAAAAAGAACGTTCATAATAAGCTTATTTCTATTCCAAGCCATTTGGATTTCTCCCTTGCCCTAAAATACACATTACTTTAATCTTATTCTGGTCTCCTTCAAATAACACAGAATTCTTTCTTTAGAAGATAACTAGAATCTCCCTGTATCCCTTCATACAAAAAATTCTACACATTGCAACACAAAAGCAGGGAGTAGGTCAGGCAGCTTTACTCTAAAATGAAACATTGGATGCCAGTCTGGAGAAACAAAGGGGCACCACAGAAGACCACGTGTAAATGAGAACAACTTTATCTTCTAGTGCAAGTGCCAGATAGTAGAAGACAGCAGCTCAGGGATGAAGGTTTAATTTTAGGCTGTAAAAGGTCTTCTTCAGCCTCTCCATCTGGGAGCCAAGTGTTTTGTTCAAGCTTGAGTGCTTTATTTTGCCAAATATATCTACTGACGTCCTTGTGAAGATGTTAAGAGACCAGAGACAGTGGGAACATGGTAACAATATGTAAAAGAGCAGGGAAGTGTGCCACATCCTGAGAGTACGAATGACAGAGCATGGATGGGTGCCTCATCCAAACAAGCAAGGAACATGTATGGTCAGCTCAGCACAGCCCTATGCAACCAGATTAATGCTGCACAGTTGAACATGGGATATTTCCCCATGGTGTGTGATAACCTTTCAGCGGTTTGAGTCTCTGCAAAACAATCTAACTATTCAGCCTTTCTTAGAAGCTTGTTGCTTTCAAGTACAGCAAGAGCAAGATGAAATTCAGGTCATTTTTTACTTGTGATAAAATTAATTCAGCAGCAAACTTCTGTGACTCAGTCTTGGCATGTTATCAACCCAAGAACAACACACGTTTCTTCCACGCAAGTCACCTACATTCTATTCAAATGCTCTAACAAATAAAACTGGTAACCTTTCTACACAGTACCGCAAGCCAACACTCCAGGCTAATTCACACCCCCTAATTCTTACTGAAATGTTAATCATTAAGCCAGTTATAGATAACAGTCTTAAGTCCACAGGAAGGGATTTTTCTAAACTTCAGCCAACTCTCCACTCATTTTGGTGCTAATATATCAGATACAGAAAAGAAGTATGTAAGTGTCTTCTTTCTTCTTTTCCTGGCACCTGAAAACTGCAACACATAAGAATTAATTAACTGACAAGATAAAGTTTACTGATCTGAGCAAGAAAATCTTACTAACCTCAACGAGAAAACACATTGCCAAAATCCTCTAGCAGACCCATCTGACACATCAATCAGATCATATTTGATTTATGCAAGGAATTTAGTGAGCAGAAACACTGAAGGCCACTCACTCTTTCTAAGATGAGCTGTTAATATGTACATTAACAGCCCATACTTCACATTTGGATTAACCAGGGGCCCCTGCCGTCAGGACGTCCATCACGCACGTGCCCATCTCTGTCCATCAAGAACTGTGTGTTAGCCACTGCTGTCCTCTGCTACTGTTGGTATTTTAGTGGTACTTGCAGTCAAAGTACTTCTCATCCCTATAAAGGGGGAAAGGCGTAAGCTTTCTAACAATATTCATTAACATCCTACCGGATCCCCAATGCTGCCCTCAGCATGTCACTAGAATAATTAACAATTTACTGAGCTCTTTCGGCCAAGCATAAAACAGTGTTTGGAGTCTTCTTTTATAACCTGTTTGGGCAAAGAAAGGAAGAATACACAACATAATCCAATTACTATGGACACATGGCATACAAGTCGATTCCCTTGGCAAGTCTTCCTGAGGATTACTCTTTACAGAAGCTACCTATTTGCTTCTCTGACAAATACATATAAAATGGACACACATACACACCTGCTTACACTCACCCAGAAGTCTCATCAGTTTTAATAAACCAATGGTTTTCCTACTGTGTTCTGTGATCACATCAGACTGAGAGGCTGGGCAGCTGGCCTAACCATACAGTATTTAGAGCTCTCCGGAGGGTTACCTGCCCATGTTAATTCTTCCAGAGCAACTCTTCCTTTTGCTTTTATTCATAACCCATTATAGTGCCATGATTAAAGTCTCCTAATGAGTTATATTTCGGAGGTATGGTCCATTGGTTCTTCACCAAGTTCAACAGCTATGCTGCAGTGTGAAAAGGGAAAATTGCAGGGGGTTCAAGAACACTTAAGGTAGCTTTAAATCTAGCTAGCTCTGGTAGCAAGGAGCAGGGATGGTGAGGAAGCGTGGATTTCAGTGCATACATTAACATATGGTCCCCAGCAGACTGCAATAACCCAAACTAATGCTTGAACACCATTTCATTGATGTCCAGATTTTACACAGGAAAAATGAACATCAAATAAGCAAAGTTCCACGAAAGAAACTGTACTTACATTGTTTTTGTTTGCATTTATGCACACACTTCAAAGAAAAATATATACCTATTTCAAGCACAGCCTACCGTCTTTTGAATTTGATGCCTTCATTCAGAAGTTACTGGATGACACATTTGATGGATGCGCAGATCCAAAAACATCATTTTCAAATGGAGTTGCCCCAAATACTTGGGCTTCCTAAAACCACTGAGAACTGCAGGCACTTATTTCCCCTGTAAGTCCCCAGTGTCTTCCTACTGTTGCCAAAATATAGCTTCAGACACCGAGTATTTTTATGCACTTAAATGAGATGGCCATGGTTAAGGAGATACTTCAGGGCACTTCGATCTCTAATAATCAGAATTGAAATATTGTATTCATCAAGTTTTTTTTTTTTTTTAAACAGCAATGAATATTTAAGTGTTTTAGTGTGTTGTTCTCTAAAGCCACCAGACTCATCGAGATGCCTACGGGCCGCATTCGTATCCAAGTTGCTAGTGTTTCAAGTGGCTGATTCATGCACAATTAAAACAAGGCAGGTACCCAATATGAAGCTGCAAACCACCAAAATAAACCCAGGAGCCAAGTGACTGGCTTCCAGTTGCACACTTGTCTCAGTTTAGAACACCAAACTACAACATCATGGAAATTCAAGTCAGGAAAGGCAAGGTGTTCAGATGCGGGAAGAATGTCTCACTCTCCCTATGCAATCAAGTAATTAGTTAGGGCCATGGGCTTATTTATGATGAGCAGATTAACTCCAGCCACTAGACCTTACTGAAGAACACCATCTGTGCACACAGAATACAACCTAGGAGCATGCAGCATGGCCATGCCAAGGCTGCCTAGCACTTCCCATTGTCAAAGATACTTTGCCTTTCTTAAGTCCTTTCCCTGCCCTTCTTTGACCTTGCCAACTTCAATGGTTTCCTTGTTTGCAGCAAATCTTTGAAAACTCAAACGATGAAATCCTCCCTGCTAAAGCACCTTTTCTGGATCCTATGAAATTATATTCAGGTTTAGGACAACCTGTTCACCATCTGTAGTATCTTGCAAGTTATTTCCTAGAACATGGGATATATATGGGAACATGGGATATACCAAGAACAGGTAACACTGCCTTGTAATTACCAACAACTCCATGTGTTTTGACACACCATCCCTGAGCAGTCCATCCCAGGAAAATCAACACCCATGGCTTTCTGTAACTGAGATCATTTTCATTTATTTATGGGGGATGAAGGATGTCTATAGAATAAATTAAAAAAAAAAAAGAAGAAGAAAAAAAGAAAGCATAGCACTGAAAACTTCCCTTATGAGGGAGGAAGAAAAATAGCTTGAATAGTTCATGTCATCTAGGTCCTGGAAAGGTCAGTGTTCTCTATCTCTTCTCAAAGGTTTTCACATCTGTGTAAGAACTTCATATTACATTACCTATGCTCAGGCTAGTGGAAACATCAACCTACCATGACGACAGACTAAAGTAACAGAGATTGTGCAATGTAGAAAGTAAAGAAGTTCATACTGCTGGATCTTTTGTCATCTACCTGTCAGTATCACCCACATCCACCCCTCAAGGAGTGTATTAAAATATGGACAATTTAATATTAGACATTCGAAAGGCAGGCAGATACAACAGCACAGGTACTACTGTAAGGTCAGAATGTGAGTGTCTAGTTAGTACTGCTAAGGGAAGCAGAGGTAACAAGCGATGTATTTTAAGAATACTCTGGACTATGATCCTGAGGGCTCCTAAGATATATGGCTTTAGCTGCAAAAGCATCCTTTGCTGTGCTCAGACAGCTGTTGCAGCTGAAATCTATGATATTTCTCAGAACTGTGATTAAGTGTGCAATTCCTGCTAGTCTCCATGGAGACTGATGTTGGCTCAGCAAAAAGTCACCAAGTGTTTTAAAATAATTCCTGTTCATGTTGAAATTTCAAAGGATTTAACCCCTTTTTTACCTAACCCATTTTTACCAATCAAAAGAGAAGTAGTATTAGCAAAAAGCACTAGTAAAACAAAACCAAAAAATACACACTTGTCATATAGCTGAAAATTAAACATCAAAATATAAAATAAAGGAGGAGAAAAAAAATAATCTCTGGAACTAGAAATCAATGCAGGTGTGCAATCTTCACATTATGTGAATTTGTGTACCAAGTACATTACATCTACCTGCAAAAAAATCCTCTTTAAGGTGATATAATACTGAACTCTGCACTTTGGCTTGCATAATTAACTGTTCCTCTTTTTATCTAAAGGCCTCCCCTTTTGGGAAGTACCTTGTCTCTGACTCTCTCTATTGACCATGACAGCAACTACAACAGTTTTTAAGGTGCATTTAGAGCACATTCACACAGAATCTCCCACCTCATCCTCATTTTTGTTTTTCTCTTTCAAAAAAGCAGAAGACATTTCGTTATACCAACAAATTCAGCTAAAGCTGAATTTAAGCTCCCAAGTACATAGATAAAATAGCAGCTTACAACATCTGCAGTTTAACAGTTTTTAAAACACTCGCCTAAAATATGCAAGTTTAATGGTGGAAATATTGTAATGTTCACACAGTAGCCACATATAAACAAATATAGTGTACGGCTTCAATTTCGTACGGCATTTTCGAAACTGTTGGCCATGAACTTAAAATGATATTGAAGAACAAAGTATATATATCTGTGTATATATATATAGATATATATGTGTATATGTATATAGTGTGTGTGTGTGTATATATATATATACACATATATAAATACATATACATATATATATGTATACATATACATATGTGTATATATATGTGTATATATATATACACACACACACACACACCCCCTCCAAAATTCTTATGAGTTTCAGCGCAACTTGTACTTCTGTGCTGATGAAGACTCTAATACTAAATATCAACTTCAAAGCTCTTTTGGCTTACATTTGTAATTGTGATATAAAATTGCCACATAGGATTTTGATGTGTGGTGGTGGGAGAGATGTGTTTTTGTCCTGAAGAACATAAAGACACAAGGACATTGGCCTACCTATGTTTCCAACATTTCTAGACCAAGAAACATCCCCCTTCTGAACCTCACCTTTTTTATTACTGCAAGCAGCACGTCGCTTGTCACTGAAACACTGGAAATGGGAGTGACAAGGCAGCAAGTTAAAAACCACTAGTGATTAGGTCAGGATGACAGCAGCTTACCTAAATTGTGTCGCTTTGTCTTTGCGTGCTCGTGAATATGTTTCTTTGTAAAACAGCCAAAGAAGACACAGTAGAGGCAAGAGTGGAGTCTATTCAGGTGGGCACCACACATATGACAAATGCACGACTTTGCCTGAAAGAGAGAAACAGTCAACATGAACGATGGAAATATATATCACAGGTCAGCATTCAGCTCATTCTAACTTATTTTGGATGTCTGAGGATGCTAACTGGATGTAGAAATAACTGCTAGATTTCTCTCTCAGTCGGTGTCCTTGAAATGCTGCAGGCCAGCAGGGAGTACTGAAGTTCTGCCTCCATTTGACAGAAGCACCAGTTGGAGGCTGAAACAGAGAAAAACTCTTCCATTTGCCCCATATGTTTCCAAATCTCAATAGGGAGCAGATCTTGTCTAAACACAGACAATAACCAAGCCACTTACAACTCTCAGCCTGCAGTTTAATGAAGCCTTCCAAGCAGCTGCACTGCTGCTAAAAGAAAAAAAAAAAAAAAAAAGTGCATTTCTATTCCCAAACCAACCTCAGATCAGCCTAATGATCTGCCATGTGCCAAGAGGGGGAAAAAAGCTGCATGGGAAACAAACCCACCACTCCCTCCCAGACTGACCTGCCTCAGGGCCTCGACCTAGTGCACTAAGTAACCACCCAAGCCATTTGTGCTCGTGCAAAACCTGCGGGCAGCAAGGCCAGCTGAGTGCCAATGTCGTGGTAGGGCTGAACGGATGACGGGTACCAAAGGAGGGAGCTCCAAGTACCAAAGGAGGGAGCTCTGAGCACCTCTGCTCGCTCTGGGCTCTCCGTGAGCGCACCAGCCCCTCGCCAGCTCTACCCCTTGGAGCAACGCGCTTTGCTACTGGAGCTGCTTCAACTTCCTGACCTGGAAGGTCAAAACTAGACCAAAAAAAGGTAATTTTCTGCCAGATTGCTAAGTCAGAAGGTTTTTTTTTTTTTCTTTTTTCTTTTTTTGGTAAAGAGGTGAAGAGGTGGCAGTGGGATGTAGCCTCAATGAATGCCAGAGCCAAGAGAAAGTGGAGAGGTAGAGGAATGAAGAGCCAAAATGTGCAGCTGGTGGGAGCAAGAGAACCTCCTGCAAGGAGCTTTGCTCAGTGCTGAGCCGCCAGATCCAGCAAAAGCTGCAACAGAACTTCAGCATTAACGTGTTTGGGAGGATACAGCATTGCACTTGTCTGCTGGGAGATTCAACCAGATGAATTAGAGTTCTTCCTACCAGCCCATGAAACAGCAGCCCAACACCAAATTCACACAAGCCAAGTGGTTACTAGAGTAATTTCAGCACCTGCTGCCTGGCTTGGACTGCAGTTTGGGAAGTGACGCGCTGGCGACTCCGCTGAGTGACCCTGAAGGGAAAGGTGCCATGAAAACCTCCCGAACTGACTGAAATTAACAGGCAGGAGAACCTCATGGAGCCGTTTGTACTGCAGTGATAACTATACATTTAAGGAGTAAGCCTTTCCCCCACCCTTTTTTTTAAAAAAATGAGAAGATTCAGTAGACTGGACTCCCAGTGAGACCTGAAGCCTTCTTTAAACCAACCAAACCTCCTCCCCTCTTAGCATTAAATTCACGTGCTTCAACAAGAGCTTTGAAAGATTACTAAAATTCAAGACTTCAGAGAGAGTTTGAGGGGTGAACCTTTTGCAATACAATGCCTAAAATAATTTAAGGTTGGTACCACCATCTGTTTGAAAGATATAGGCAGTAAAAAAATGCCACAAGTGAGCTAAAAGTCTAACTTCAGACAATAGCAATTACTTTCAGATATATGTTTAAGAGTAACAGTTAGGTAACAGCTCAGAATTACAAATATCTCTTACAGAAGTATGCATTATTTTACAGACTAATGTAAAAATACTATTCCAATGCTCTTTAATATAGCAACACATTTTTCTCCACATAAAAAAAAAACAACAAAAAAAGGAGACTACTATAATACTAAGCTATCACCTACTAACCTAGGCAATACATTTAATCCAAAATAAACCCCAAGTTCTTCAGCAGCATTTGCTCAGTCTGCCACAACTTAAAATTAGTGCTAAATAAACGATGCATGATGCTGCTTCCTAGTCTGGCATTTCTCTTTCAGAATATTCTTGGCTGTTAAAAAAATAAATCAACAAAACAGCTTGCAGTATTCTGAAGCATGTTATTTATTTTTGCGATTCTACAAATTAAGATTTAGATGCTTAATTGCACATGTTGTGTATTCAAAGTTCTCCTAAATTCTGCTAAAATGAAAATAGATTGGTTGAATCAAACTGCACACACACCTACAGAAATACTTTAAAGTAGGACCAAAAAAAGTCATCACCACCAGAGCAATTTCCATCTTTAGAAAAATGCAGCAGAACTGTCAAACTGTTGCCTAACGGGTGCTCTTTGGCTGCAAAAGCTAAATAGGATCAGCCTATCTGTTAAGATTGCTGCTATGACAACAACTCTAGCAACTGGCTATTTTACTTAGCCAGCTAAAAATAATCTTTAGCATTAAATGTATTGTAGACAGATGACATAACAAGCATGTAGAAACCGCTGATCGTTTTAGTCTAAAAGGTTTAAAAAGACACTAAAAATCCTCATATAAATTTTCATTTAAATGGAATTTAAGAAGAAAAAAAATAATTCAGAAGTCAAAAGAAGTTTTATAATTTAAGGGAAGCTATTGTATTCATATGCTGTATTTGTTCAGTATAGATCAAGACTGTTTTTTAAAAAAAAATTGTAAGAAAACAAGATTAAAAGATGATAGAGTGGAAGAGACAAAAAGAAAAAAAAAAATCAATACCCAAACCCATCATGGCTATTCTTAATTAGATGAGTTGTCTCCTTTTCATCTTTCTGTGCTTTTAACTAATTTGCTAAGTTAAAGGAAAGTACTTCCCCCCTCCTCAAAAAAATAATCAAATTACTTTGTTTCATAATACTCCCACCCCGCTCGCATCTCTTGGGGCTACAGTCTGTGACTAAGACGAAACAGAAAAGTGCAAATGAGTAATCAAAGTCAGTGAAATCTGTAGAGTCACAAGCTTGCTTGGGAATAAGTCTTGAGAGGAGGAAAAAAAAAAAAAAAATTCCTGTTCCTGTTTGAGACTTTAGAGAAGGAACCAGCATTGGCAGCTGAAGCAAATGAATCTCCCACTTCCCCTTTGCTCTTGTGTGTCCCTTGGTTAGGGCAAGTGGCTTTCTGGTATCTAGAGACATGAAAGGAAGGAGTTTTCCCTTTTCTCCGTGCCCTTTCCCATCATTACTCTGCTCCCCACATACTCCTCCTTTATTCCCTCGCTCTCGAGGATCTCCCCGTCCTTCCCTAACCCCGTGCTCTCTCCCTGCACACAGTCCCTCACCTTTGGTCCCTGGCCCATCTTGGTCCCTCCTCTCTGTTTTCCTCTTCAGTCCATCACGGCTTCTATCTGCCCATCGACTCCTTTAATTTTGCCCTGATCATCTACCACGAGGCATGTGGAAACCAGAAGCCCTTCTTTATTGTAGAAAATTGCTGCTGATTTTAAACAAGAGAAACCTGGACAAGAGTATTCCTGCCCAAGGGCAGTTGTACACACGCGTGCTCACGTGCACATGAACCAACAAGATTTCTGATAAAAGCACAAGAGTCAGGAACCCCAAGTTTCTAAACCCACCCTCAGTGACTGCTCTCTGCTCATCTCTATTACAGACAGGGATATGATGGCACTAAACAAATCCAGATTGCTAGCAACGGTTCTCAGTATCTTCTAAAGGAGGTCTGAAAACCTTGCAAATGAGGATGCGAAACTAGTGCGCGATGCACAAAAGGGAACTGGTCACGTAGTAACGCAGGCCAAGAGCACCTACTTCTACCTGCTTTTTATGCTTTATATCCTAACTGTTAAAAATAAGCTAGAAAGAAAGAGGCAGGCAGCAGGAAGCCAAATAAACTGGAGTGCTCACACTTCGAGCCTTCCCGAATTGTCAGAACAGCTTGTTACTAGTTTTCTATCCTAAAGAACAGGAGCTCATCAAAACAGTGGTAGGGAGAATTAAGGCATAACCTCGCACAGTTTTGTACTGACAAGTCTTTGACAATTTCAGGCCTAAATCTCATTTCCTGGGCCAGCACAGGCTCCAACTATGGAAAGAAGGACAACTGGGCACGTGGTACATCAGGTTTAAAACAACACACGCACACCCCACACCTACAGTCACACGCTATTTCAGCCTCACATGATGTTGGCCCTCCAGCCAAGGGTAGTTTCGATGGCAATGGAGCGTCCCTGCAAGGTGATCTGTGCAGAAGGACACAAAGACATACGATGGTCTTCAGCTTTTCCAAGAATTTTTTCTGAATTTCCAACAATTTTAGATGTAGTTTTGGAAACTTGATTTTTATGTAATCGCAGACGATCACAAAAGGACATACAGGAGACCACTGCTTCTTTCCACACTGAAGAGGGAGACCCTCAGGCTGTTTGAACAGCAGCATTTCTTCTGCCTTGTGGGAGGAGAAAGCCAATATTAAACTACAGTTGACAAGATTTATTACTCCGAGTACTCTTTGCACCTCAAGAGCAACAAATTCAGGTCAAATCAGCTTTATGGCATTTCTAACGATCGCTTCTTAGTCCATATTTCCTGTAGGATTCCTGCTCTCCCAAGGCAGGCATTCCATAGGGCCACCAGCCATTAGGAGACCGGCCAAGAGATTTGAACAATCACATTTCAAAGCTAAGTTCATAGATTTCAAGAAACAAAAATAGGGAATAGATTCCACAGTTCCCTGTGGTAAAGCACATAACACTCCTCCACACGCCGGTGAGATGATTCAGACTCACTGTGAGTCAGTGTGCGTTTCTGACACATCAGCTTTAAAAAATAAATAAATAAATACATTTGAGTGCCGTTCATTCACTTCCTGCAGGGAGGCCTAATTATGACAATGCCAGGTTATTCTTTTGAAAAGAAAATTCCCTCAAGAGCGAAACTTCTGCTTCCAGTTTCAGTAAGGTCAGTGGTACAAGCAAAATGTTGAACAGCACTAGCAAAACTCTGTGCTAGTCACAGAACCTGTGTGTTGGATAAGTGTTTCGGAAAGTCAAAAAAGCAAAAACAAAACAAAAACAACACACAGAAAAAGCTAAGCACAGGCCACTTCTGAAACTGGGTCATTCCAAGGGTTGTTTCAATCTCTTCACCGTTACAGCTGCAGAAAGACAGCTAAATATTCCAGTTCTATTCAACAGCGTAGATTAAATTTAAAGGGTTTGCTCTTTGCTGGCTCCTTGGGCAATACACTCGGGCCTCGTCTTTACAGCAGCAGGGTGCGGCAGGTAGAAAATGCCCACAGAACTTTTCTATTCTACGAACAGGATGTTTGCCTCCAATTACCCGAGCACAAGTTTGAACACAACCAATATTACAGTTTATAATTAAAGATGAAATAGCCCAAGTTGTTAAGTCACATCACATTTCTCAGGCTATGTACAAACGAAAACATACCGCTATGACCACTTTAGCAGTTTGCTGTCCTTGGTAGATTAAACTGAGCCATGAAAATTCCAGTGAAACCAAAACTTCTGCCTGTAAGTAAAGAAATTGTGAAAGGAGGAAAGAGCATTGCTGTGTGTGTTGCCGAAGATGCTCAAGTACAACTTCCAAGGCAACTTCTGCCTTGCAAACTGCTGAAATCTCTTCACCAAGGTGCTGCACCCCAGCAAAACTATGAGAAACCTTCCTTCTTACAAGGCAAAAATGACACACCAAGCTTGCCAGTTCAAACCCTGGGATCTTTTCATTGACCTGAACTTCAGTTTTGGAAGTTTTAGTTGCAGAGTGCTCACTGTTAGGTAATGGAGGAATAAATGGTTTCTGCAGCCTTAGCTTCCTGATTTCCAATCCAAGTTCTAATAGCAATTGGGAGGTGGGGGGGGGTCTTTATTTTTTCATTTATTTTGCATGTCTTCATGGAAGACATTAGCAAAGGGAACTATACTTGCAGTGGTGAAAGGGAAATATATTGTCTTGGGACTTGACAGGGTCCCAAGGGTTACCCTTGGGAGAGGGTAAAAATACAAAAATAGTTGTTTATCCACGTACTTGAAGGGCAAGAAGATCACAACAGAGCTAATGCCAGAATAAATGCTCTGTGTTAGAGTGAATTGTCAGTAAAGAACAACACTGATTCAGTGGCAAGACATATGACAGAAACAGAGCTAAACCCTCCACGTTTCCAGGGCATAAGACAGACAGAGGGTTTTTTCTCAACTTGAGAAAGAGAAGCCATCTATATAAGCATCTTCTAGCCAAATTGACTAGAAGCAACATGATTCAGAATGAGAATGAAAAGGCCTCAAATATATATATATATTTTACACAGCTCTGTTAAAAGATGAAAAAAAATCTAGATTAAAATTATCCCAGGAACTTTTACAAAGCAGAAAGCATGCCAGCGTCTGCTAGCTTAAGAACCACTTGCCAAACCATTCACTTTCCTTCTCCAATTCATAAAGAATGAATATTACTGAATGCCTCTAGAGCACAGCGATTAATTCTTTCAATAGCTTATTTAGATTGTAGTACTGTTTTAGCCCTGGATGGACCAGGATTTATTTCTTACTACCATTAAGGAAAGTTTGGGAAACTTAAAGGAAACTACAAACTAGTTCCATCTAAAAACAACTTTTTAAAAAAGTTTCCATACATGCTAGATGTCAGATAACATTGTAGCTTTTTTGTAAATCCACCTGCTTTTCAGAATTCCCAGTGGCACTTATTTTGAAGGATCAGTAGCATTAAAGCCCATTTTCTGCTGTGTCCAAACATACTACAACTGCTCTGAGATCAGTAAAGGAAAATTCAGAAAGTTCTTTCAGAAAAGACAACCTGTTTGTTCCCCTCTTTATGCACAAATATTGGACTAAAATATACAGAGTGTGGTATGAGTCAGAAAAAAAACCTTCCTGGAAATATGCTGCTACTTTGGAAGCCAGAAGAATCAGGCCTCCTGAAGGAGGATATTCTAGTTTTAACCTACTAAATCTGATGCAAGAGTTGCTAACACTATGTGCAATTATCTGTAGCATCACCCTATCCTGAAGTGACCTTCCCTGTTCCAAAGCGA